TTAACCAACTTAATTTCATGAAACAATACGAATGAAAACTGAAACCTATAAGGCATTAACTCATCAGCTGAATACCTTCGCTTCTAGTAATTTCTCACGAGGTTAATTGAACTTAGTTTTTTTATGTTAATCCAAAATCCCATAATCTTCATAAATATAAAATTATCAATAAATAAAAATCATCATCCGACACCAGGTAGGCCAAGTGTCTGTCTGTACTCCTATTTTCATAGACACTCTGATTATATATTTCACTCAGCGTGGTTCCCCTGCACTTTATCGTCTCTTCCTAGGGCCTCCTAGCGGTCTCCTTCTTTTTTGCTTCCACAGGAACCACTCTATAGGCATTCTCCCTAGTTCACTTCAGGTGGAAGTACTATCTCAGCTGCGCTTCCTCAGTGATTATCAGTTAGCATATTTTTCACACCTAGGTCTGATCTAATATTATAATTTTTCATTCTCTCTTTTCCTGAGTGTGACACATCGATAAAGTAGAGCACTATTATCTCGGCTGCTTGGACTTTACTTTTCATTTTACCATTTAAGGTACATGCCCCATTCCCATACACCACCATAGGTCGGAGTAGGATGGTATATATGGTAACCCTAATTTTCGGTGGTATAAGTTTGTTCTTTAACAGCAGGTAACCACGCCTATGTTTCTATTGAACTGGCACATCCTTTCATTTATTGATGTCGTTCTGTGTCTCATATGTTACAACAAGTGCCTGCTTTCGTATACGTGACAATACCATTATTTCTGATTCCAATACATTTAGCTTCAAGCCAAATTCCTCAAGCACGTCGCACAATATATCCGTATGTACCCGTAACTCTTCCTCAGTAAATGTAACAATATTAAATGTCATTCGCATATGCAAATGTTTCTGCAAACTAGTGCTTTTTCCCTGACATTGCACTTAAACAAATTTTAAACGTGCTCCTTATTGCCTGCTAAAGATTTGGAGATATACTACAATTTGTCTTCTGTATCGCTTGCCACAACTTTTTTCTAGTGATTCTGTTGATGAATCATTGCTTCTAAAAAAAAAAACTTCACAAGTACAAAATATAAATACTAAAAGCAATGTTATCTCATGTTGGCAGACCGTGATAATTTTCAACATTATAATCTTAGGGTAAAACTGGTTTTTCAGCTAGAATGATGGTTTATTTGTTGAAATTTTGTACAAATGTATACTCAAGGTCAACGTGCGCTAGCCGTCACAAATTTGGAAGTGACATACTAGTGTGACGGAGTAATTATTCTATATTTATTCTGACATCGATGCTTGTTTACATTAAATTTATATTTAGAAATGTACATAACGTATACTGTTAAATATGTATTGTAAAACTCCCGCCTATTCTCCAAAGTTGTAGAAGATTCTCGAGTGTAAGAATCAACAATATATATGTGTGTATGTAAACGCCAGTGTAGGTTTTTATTGTTACGTAATCTGAATTTTCGAGAAACTCTCCACACGCCTATAAATATAACCAATATTGTGTAAGTGATAAGTTTAAAGCTACGATTAAAAAGGTATGCATAAAAATAAAAGGTCATTATCAAAGAAACATTCTACCACTAAAGAGCGCTTCAAAAATAGACAAGACAGAATTTAATTTGTAATCAGCGAATTAGGAAATACCGATTTCGATAAATTTCGACGGATAAAAATGCAAACATTGACTAACCAAAACATTTTTCTAGTTAAATTTCACAATTTACATCGATTTTAGTAAGGGTGTTTGGGGGCGAGTAAGAAAATTTCAGTCTAAGCTTTTATCTTGTGACCCTGCTTGTTCTTTATATTTTTTCAGACAACCATACAATGTGCATGTTATGTTTATATTGAGATGATAATGATTTACTATTGCCATTCGTTATTGCCGTTTCATTATTGTCGAGATAATGTTTATTGAATTAAATAACAATATATATATCACTAACTTTGTTATTTTATTTTGATTGCATTAGAATTAATAAAGGAGGGTTTAAGAATTATCAAATAATATTTTGTTCATTACGACTTTTGTAAACTTTAATTACAGAGGCCAACGATGGTTTTATTCCTGTAAGCTGAATCCGAAAATGATATTGTTACAATAGCGGAAGTCACGTGACGCTGGTAACACGTAATGAGTATCTCGAAGGTTCCTGAAGGCTCGAGTGTTTGCCATACGCCCTCTATTTTGAATATATAAGACCTGACGGCAAGAATAGTTGCAGATAGAGAGATTGAAGATATAGAGACGGACAATTGAGCCAAGCGCGGTAGTGACCGTAAGTAAAGTGCGTGAATCGTTATGAATTATATCGTGTGTTTAAGTTAAAATGACTGTGGAAATTAAGTGTATTGCAAAGTTGTACTGAGAAAGAATAAACTAGTTTTATTTAAGAAAGGACTTGTATGGCTAAAGTTTCTTCGGAAAGAATTTTTACGGAAAATTAACAAACGAACAGAGACGTAACAATATCCATTTTTTCTCCATCGCGTACAGATTTTTCACAAAACGTCATAACGTAATACATTAAAGAAATACCACAACACGTAGTTTTGAGACTAAAAGACGTACACTTCACAAATAAAATCAGGATGAATGAGGATGCATATTCGTTTAACATCAATGTTCTTCCCTTTTCTTCAGTTTGTTTTTAATTTTGTTAACAAACATAATAATAAAACATGTTCATCATGGCAAACAAAATGTTACCACAGCGGAAGTCATGCGACGCTGGGAGCATGCGCGCGGGAGTTTCTAGAAGGATCATGACTTATCGAGGAACCTCGCGAATGTCCGAGTGTTTGCCAGGCGTCCTCTTTTTTAGTATATAAGCCCGGAAAATAAAGCCAAGATTGAATAGATATGCAGATAGATCGAAGAGATAGATATAGATGGATAACTGAGTCACGCGAGCAGTAGGCACGTAAGTAAAGTGTGTGAATCACTGTACTTTATCGCGTGTGTTATAAAGGTTGTTAAGTTTAAAGTGACTGTGGAAATTCTGTGTATTACAAAGTTGTATCGAGAAAGGATAAACTAGTTTTAATTAAGAAAGGACTTGTATCGCTGATGTTCCTCGGAAAGAATTTATATCGGAATTAGCAAACGAACAGATACGTAACAAAATAATAATTTGATATAAGTAAGAGTTATTTTTTCTTCCCGACTTCTAGAAAATCCTTACGTGATAGAAAAAAATGAATATTATTTTCAAAATCTGCGTAGCTGAATTATGGAAAATCCGTTATTAAAATCAAAACAACTTTTATGAAGTTTAAATTCGCAGACCTGTGTAATAAATTACGATTCAGTAGTTTCACAATCGTTAAAGACTAAAGACATGCTTAAAACAAGCAGCGCACGTTAAGGTATCACAGGTAACTGTTAAAACGTGGAGAAATAAATAAGAATTTAATTGAAATCTTAAAGAATTTTGATAGCATTTGGACAGTTGTTAAATTAGACATCCGTATGGAGTTTAACCTATTGTAAAAAATACAGAAAAGTACACAAATATTTTTGTAAAAAACAACAACAAAAAAAAACACTTTACATATTAGTATTACGATCATAAATGAAGTGGGAAACTATGGGAATTAGGTAGATATAAGGTAGAATATAAAAGTGTTTAAGTTTAAGTGAAACTTCTTAGAATTCACATCTAATCAGTCCTTTAAAAGTACGATAAAATTAGGTAAAAAAATGGAAAAGATATAGGGGTATTTGATGTTAAAAAGATGGATTTGGATTGTTTTGAATTTTGTGCAGAGCTACACAAGAGCGTTGTAAGTCCGTAACTTGCCGTTGTTCTACTGGGGACATAAAATGTTGACTACTGAAGGAACGAAAAGCTCAATAATAAAGAACTAGCAGAGACCTGTCAAACATTTCCGGCCAAATTAGTATCTTTATCGTAACAGTACTTCGTTAAATATAACATTTCTTGCATAATAGAAACGAATGTAATCGTAGACAGTGAAATGTGTAAATCCACTTGTATAGAGGCCGTACTTTATTAAACTTTAACCCATGGTGGGCAGAGCATAGATAGCCTAATTTGTAGTATTGCGCTTAACAACAACCAAAACAAGATCTTATTTTCCTCAATCTTCAACGTAAATTCCAATCGATTTCGTTACTAGAATAACAAACAATTACAATTATAATGAATAGTTCAATTAAACCGTTTTACAAAGTTAATTTAACAGTTGCTTCAAGATTTAAATGTTCTTGCTCCATGTTGTATTAATTACCCGTTGGCCCTAAGATTATCTTACAAAAGTACCGAAGAAGCTTGTCTATCCAGTAATGTGGACATTTGGTTTCATGTCATCACTTGTTATATCATAACGAACACATAACAATCACAAGCATACTAAAATTAAAATGAATTAGAACGTGTGGACTATGCCAAATCAGATTATGTATAATTTATTGTTTCAGATGTACAGTAAAAAATGTTAAGAAATTTACGTTAGGGCTGTCGTCCTTTAAATATATAAAATTACATTTGTGTGGATACACAAAAACTGAAGTTTTAAACATTAACCAACTATAATGAAGCTCATAGGCTGAAGACATATGTTTCATTTTTCCAAACTTGTTCATCACCCAAACCAAGAGACGTAGAACCATTCTTTATTATTCATCACCCAAACCAAGAGACGTAGAACCATTCTTTATTGTTCATCACCCTCAAAACAAGAGAAGTAGAACTGTTCTTTATTGTTCATCACCCAAACCGAGAGACGTAGAACCATTCTTTATTGTTCATCACTCAAAACAAGAGAAGTATAACTGTTCTTTACCGTGTAATTTCCATAAAAGCCCCCCCCCTCCCCCCAGTATGTCTGCAGACTTACAATGCTAGAAACCGGATTTTGATACCGTGGTGGGCAGAGCACAGATAGACCTTCGTGTAGCTTTGTGCTTAACTACAAACAAACCATAAAACAATTGTTTTATACAGAAAAATGTATTTTTAACTCTTTGTGTGTTGAACTAAATGTATGTTTTTGTTTCCCAATAAAATTATTATTTTTAGTCAAACTTATTTTAACAGGCTATAGCTGGTAAATGTTATGACTTGTTGCTATATAGACATTGGTATTTATACTAAGCCTACATGATTCAATTACTACTTTTTCATTCAGAGAAGAGATATGGCTAATCCATGAAAGTTGATTGAAGTTTGGTGTGAATGATAATAGAATACTTTGGGCAACAATGTCAAAATATACTTTCAAACATTCCAACGTTAGAACCTTTAAACAACATTAAGAAAAAGAGATTTAAAAAGTCGCAATTATAATTTAAAAATCTACCCAAATGCTCATACAGATAAGGCTTGATAAGGTTTTTTTTCTTCCAGTTAATATAAGGTTGATATTAATTAGATTACCAAAGACGTATGCAATTCTAAAATCGATAAAAGAGTTTAGAAAGAAATCGGTTTTGAGCTTCTGTTCTCAATATGTCAAGCAGAAACAGTTTTTTCTGTCGCAAATTACGGTTTTGAGTTTTAGCTACAATTTTGAATTTTTGCTATACTTTTTTGACGAATCTAGATTTCCAGTCATTCTTAACCATTCCATATCTCTGCTTAACAACAAACACACAAACCACATAAAACTGTATGTGGTTTCAATACAATACAATAACATCTTACAGAGCAGCTAGACGTTACTGTATAAATTACTAAAGGATAAATGTTAAACATAATTATACACGTATACAAGTGTATGTTCTGAAACATGTACACCAAGTGACAGAATTCATAAATGTTAAACATAATTATACACGTATACAAGTGTATGTTCTGAAATATTTACACCAAGTGACAGAATTCATAAATGTTATACATAATTATGCACGTATACAAGTGTATGTTCTGAAACATGTACACCAAGTGACAGAATTCATAAATGTTAAACATAATTATACACGTATACAAGTGTATGTTCTGAAACATGTACACCAACTGTAGAAGAAACTAGGAATCAACAAGTATGCACAATTACGTGACTCATCAAGTCTTTAACGGATTTATTTGCTTAAGAGATGATTGACTGATGCAGACCGAATTTCTCAGATGATACTACTTCATGGGGGGAGGGGGGTTAACCGAAATAAGATGCACGGTAAGTAGTCTGACGATAAATATATAGTGGTCAGATGCGTAGTTTTATGTAAATGTGTGAGAACGTTTTCGAATTTGCTCACATTAAGTATGCTATCGGTATCTTCACAATTGTCGTATATCCAATTAGCTAGAGGAAAGGTCAACTATAACGGGGAGGGGGCATAGCAATTTGTTTATAATTAGCCACTATTGTGTTTTTGCTGCAGTTTAGTTTGTACTAATGTATCGACGTAAATTGTTTGGTAAACATTAAAAATAAAAGAATCCACTTTCTTCCCACGCTTCTTGTGTTTTACATTTATATTTGATTGTTCAGCAAAGTAATACATAAGTAAACGTTTGACTATTTTTATGTACAGTTCCATTGAAAAGTGTTTATTATGTTTAAGCCAGCTTTATTGTGTAAATTCAGGATATTTTATGACAATTACAATACTTGATGGAATTAGGCAACAAAATATCAAAACAGAAAGTCTTAGCTATTCACGCACATTTCACACGAAAAAGTTTTTTAAATATTTAGCGATTTTACTCATACAGAATTATATGACGCAATGAAAGAAGGGATATAACCCTTCCTATTTTCATAGACATGTTTGAAGAAAGACAATAATAAAATTCTATCACGAACAATATAAATATGGCTCAACCTACAGTTGGATTTCATTAAACCAGTGACTGCTGTGATGTACTGAAGAAGTAGTTAATGAGCTTTAACAAATTGTCACTAGATGGCAAGACAATACATTTTGACGGTCTTTGGCAAACAGCATTTCGGATATATTATGATATACAAAAATGTATTTATAACCAGTAGTAGATACACGTTGCTCAAATGTACGTTCAGCTGTTTACTACAGTATTATTTTCTGTTCTGAGCTGGTGCTTCAGATATTTCTCTTTAAAAATCCCCGGAAAAGTTCTAGAGGAATGGGGAAAACGATGGTGGAATTCTTCTCAGTAGCGATGGAGCCAAGTGTCTGAAGATAACGGAGCTGGAGAGCAGATGGAGAGTCGGCGATCACTTCCGATGCTTCCCTCAACGCTCGAGACGCTCGCTGTTCACCTTCTGCAGCGATCACCTTCAATAGCAAAATAAAAGTAATTTAAACAGTAAAGACAATACGACACAGTACTAGTACTGCTAACTCCCGTTTCCATTATTCCAATAATGTCTTACATTTCAAAGGCTTTCTTATTTCACTTCAACATATTTGAAATTCTTGCTTATAACAAAACTCAACTATTAAAGTCCTTGTAAGTAAGGGGGATCATTTTAGGAATGTAGACAGTGTAAACAATTACTGACTCCCATAGAAACAGTTAGGAACGTTACAAGTCTGTTCCAGGACTAATATAACCTGATATAAACGAGTTTCAACACCCCCGAGGCTGTTGTTATGAATTTCTGCACACCAGTGTCAACAAATGTGCTGTTAAAGATGTAAGTTATATGTAAGATCAAGGAAGAAACATTTAGACGAATGGTATTGCAGTACCTAAATGGACAAGGAATAAAGAGAGTCGTTATTAGTTTAAACAAAGAAAAAGAAACTTACCTTAGCACGCGCCTCACGAGCTGCTTCAGCTTCGGTGGCCATTGCTCTCTGCAACTGCACTGGCAAACGAACATCTTTTCTAGGAAGTAAAAAGAAGAAATGAAGTTTAAACACATTACAAAACATATAGTAAAACGCTTTGTGTTAGAACACATTACAAAACATAAAGTAAAATGTTTTCTGTTAGGACACATTACAAAACATAAAGTAAAATGTTTTATGTTAGGACACATTACAAAACATATAGTCAAATCTTTTATGTTAAAACACATTAAAAACATAAAGTAAACTGTTTTATGTTAGAACACATTACAAAACATAAATTGAAATGTTTTGTGTTGAACCCATTACAAAACATAAAGTCAAAATGTTTTAGCGTTAGAACACTTTATAAAACATAAAGCAAAATGTTTTGTGTTATAACACATTACAAAACATAAGGTAAAAGGTTTTATGTGAGAACATATTACAAAAGATAAAGTAAAATGTTTTCTGTTAGGACACATTACAAAACATAAAGTAAAAGGTTTTATGTGAGAACATATTACCAAACATAAAGTAAAATGTTTTCTGTTAGGACACATTAGAAAATATAAAGTGAAATGTTTTATGTTAGAACACATTACAAAACATAAATTAAAATGTTTTGTGTTGAACCCATTACAAAACATAAAGTAAAAAGTTTTGTGTTAGAACACATTACAAAACATAAAGTAAAACGCTTTGTGTTAGAACACATTACAAAACATAAATTAAAATGTTTTGTGTTAGATCACATTAGAAATTTCTTGTTGTAGCAAGTGAATGTACGATTCGTTCACATTATTTAGTGGTTATAATATTCAAATTTAATTAAGCATTGATTTAATAAACTATTCTTTAAAATAAAACTCTTACATTTCAACTCGTTCAACCTTTACTCCCCAGGGGTCAGTAGCTTCGTCCAAATTAGCCTGCATCACATGGCTAATGCTCTCCCTCTCTGAGAGAATTTCAGACAAATTTTTAGTTCCTAACACGTTTCGCAGAGTGGTGGCCGCTAGGAGGCGGGTTGAGTGCCCATAATCCTCAACGTTGGAAACAGCAATGGTAGCGTTACTGATGCGATAGTATACGACAGCGTCGACAGCCACGGTAACGGAATCTTTGGACAGTATCTTAGAAAAACAAAACAAATTATATCCTTTTGCAATATATATAGAAATATATATAGGATTCACAATATTTAAATATATATTTTTCCAGAATGTTTTTATAATATATCAGAATATACATTATACAAGGTATGATATAAGCCTCCACAAATTAACTATTTAATATTAAATTCTACAAATCAACTAACTTGAAAAGCAATGGTTGGAAAAACCATTCATTGACCGCTATACTATCAACTATATGGATATATGGATGATACATTTGTCATCTCTAATGATCCTCAACATGTACGTATCTTATAAATATAAGATTTACTGTGGGGTATCAAGAACATCAACTTACCATCCTTGATACACACGCGCACAAAACGTCGATAGTTTTGAATGTTAAGTGTATCGTAATGAGCATTTACACGTTTATACTTTAACTGTAAATATAGTTAAATATTATATCATCGTGCTTATCAAATATCTAGTACTTATAGATATTTTGATATGCCTTATAAAGGGTTGTCTGAGCTGTGCGAATTTCGGATATCGAGTCCCGAATTTTAGTGCTATAACACCTCGAGTTTACTGTTATGCCATTGGAAGGGGCTGAGGGAGTTTTCTTAAGGAACTAAATAATATTAAAGTATTTCTAAATAAAAATGGATACCCAAAGAATAATAGTATAACTGATAATAACACATGTTTATTTGGACTTTCTGTTTCATTCAACACTAACATATTAAGCATCAAACATTCCTTTCTTGCAATTAATAGTCATTCATATTAATACAAGATTAGTAAATACTGTTAATTTAAAAAGGTGAAATAGGGATCGTCAAAAAAGTACAGAAAAAAATGCAAATATTATATTTTTAAGCCTACAACTAGGGACTCTAAAAAAAAGTAAACAAACAAGGCTGTAAATAGTGTCTACATTATTTTCTCAAGCTACAAATCTCTATTTTGACTTCATTAAAACCGATACTGTAGATATGGGGTCAAAACAGTGCCTGATTTAGTTAGTTTGTCTGTCGCTGTCAGCCTGTTTGAGTTTGTGTTTGAAAAAAAGAACACAAGAGATGCGAAGTGAGAAAGTAAGAGAAATTTTGTTTTAAAGCATTGTTTATATGTTTAGTTCGGTCTATTGTTTGTTGCATAAAAAACTCACCCAACAATAGAAACCATTACAACAGTATTCTAGTAAGAGAAGTAATATCACAGAAACAGGATCCACAGAGTGGTAGGGATACAGTCAGTTAATTAGTTTATGTTACAGAAACAGGATCCACAGAGTGGTAGGGATACAGTCAGTTAATTAGTTTATGTTACAGAAACAGGATCCACAGAGTGGTAGGGATACAGCCAGTTAATTAGTTTATGTCGCGAATCTGGGTTTCTTTTTCTTTCTTTTTTTTTTTGCGACGAGGAGCACGAGCTAAGGCATTAGCAAGTAAGTGAAATTTCAATGTAGATATTGTTTATTTTAGAGACCAGAACTTGAAGTTGAAGGATAAAAACACTGTTGTGAAAAGTGGAATTATTTTGGTATAAGCAAAACAGAATCCACACTGAACTTAAAATGACGATACGTGTTTGAAATGAGATTAAAATTTAATTGAAATAACAGTGGTGTAAAAAAGATGTAAAGTGGGGGTACTTGGCTAGACATGCAGATTTTACAATGAGATTGAAAGTATAAGTAGCTGCTAAAAGCAGCTCCCGTGCTGCCAAAGGCTGCTTAATGTAGGGGAGGTCTCGGGCATGTCCCCTAGAAAATGAATATAGTAACATAATTTTCAGTTGCTATATAAGTCAAATATGTAAAAGTGGTCGGGTTCCTCTGAATAACGAAACAGTGGAAAGAAGATCAAGAAGAAAGATTTAGAAAATTAATAAGAAATCAAGAAGAAAGGAAGGACAAAAAAGACGAAAGAGGCAGAAATTTGAAAGAGAAAGCACTAAAACGAAACATGATTGTTTTTGAATATCGCGCAAAGCTACACGTCCCTAATTTAGCAGTGTAAGACTAGAGGGAAGGCAGCTAGTCATCACCACCCACCGCCAACTCTTTTACCAACGAATAGTGGGATTGACCGTCACATTATAACGCCCCCACGGCTGAAAGGGCGAGCATGTTTGGTGGGACGGGGATTCGAACCCGCGACCCTCAGATTGCGAGTCGAGCGCCTTATCCATCTGGCCATGCCGGGCCCACGAAACATGAGATTCACAAAAAAATTGCGACAAAAAAAAAACAACAACATTCACCATTTACTATTAGCTTTGATCTTAATATAAAATAATTATAAATTTAATAATAAAACGTACAACTGCAACTGGGCCAAGGGAGGACGATAAGTAAAATTTAATTATCTCCTTAAGATGGGCATTCCTTCCCAATGATGGTCGCGTGCCTATATGGACATGTTCTAATAAGTCTAAGATATCAGTTTAAAAATTACTACTATTAGACAAGAGAAAAATTTAAATTATATTCCAAAATCCCAAAGAAGTAAAAATAAAATACCAACCAGCCTGATCACAACTTTATATATAACTATGAATAAAGTAAAATACACGCGACCATGGTAACTAACACACATGTGCTGGATACAAATGATAACCATTATTCGTGGCTAAAGAGGCACGGGGAAAGGAAACTTATTTTTTAAAACAAAATGTTATATTTTTTGCTGCAAGAGCTTTAAACAGTTTTAAAGTTTTTTTTTATCTAATGTTATTTCTAAAATCGAGAAACATTTGAAAATATTGGCTTTTAGGTAGAAATTCAAAAGTTACACAATTGTTATTTGCGTATAGCCGTACACTGGATGACTCTTGTCTAGCCGAATAAGCCAGGTGGTTAGAGTGCTTGACTACCAATCTGAGGGTCGCGGGTTCGAATCTACGTCCCACCAAACATCCTCGCTCTTTCCACCGTGGGGGCGTTGGTAAAAGAGTAGCCCAAGAGTTGGTAGTGGGTGGTGATGACTAGCTGCTTTCCCTCTAGTCTTACACTGCTAAATTAGGGACGGCTAGCGCAAATAGTCCTCGTGTAGCTCTGCGCGAAACTCAAAGCACTCTCTGACTGGATAATTCGCCCACTCTGGATTTTTTTTACAACATTTGTTCTTCCCCAAGTCTTTATAAAATTCACAATGTCATGACAAAACTCGACATCAGGAATTTTCTAGGTGTCAAACATCATCATTATTATTCCATATTAAGTTTCCGTAGAAAACAATAGAAAACGTCTAAATTAAAATATTAAAAACAAAATTACTGTTTTAACTCTCTCTTTCCTTCATCAGTTGTCCCCTGGTGGGAACAGCGGTAAGTTACAACGTTAGAATTGGAGTGTTCGATTCTTATCTTGTTTGATTTTGTTGTTGTCACTTGAACCACCCACTTATACAATTCAGTGTGACTTTGCTCTAAAACAAACAAACCTTAATATGTAAAAATTAAAACTTTTGTTGTGTAGTAATTATAAATGAATATATATATATATATATATATATTCTGTATTCTTAATCTTCTTCTCAAATTTTCTTCCTGACTTTATATTATTCATTAGCAAAACAGGTGGCGTAACTACAAAAGATGCCCCCTCCCGCATAATTGTATAGTTACGATTCTGGCTCCCTGTGGGGGCTATGGGGGCATACTTACGCCATTGGCTTAGACTTTCATGTACACGGGGTTACATACAATATTTGTTTGATTTTATTGTTGTCACTTGAACCACCCACATACACAATCTCTTGTCTAATCTTCCCAGCTTAATGAATTTAGTGTGTTCACACTTTTCTTAGAACTGTCAATCATCCAAAAGTATTTGATTGCATTGATCATGTGATTTGAATTTGACTGCTTACCTTGGCGTCTTTGTCTTTAACACCTGAATGCTTCAACATTATTTTATCATATCATATAATCCTCTTCAAGTTTATTGATAACGCTAGTTTGACACGATAGATGTATATTTTTACATTGCTTTTAATAATATTTAGCTATATATGTTTCAATACAGAGAAAGAAGGTAGTAGGCTGCCAAAAAATAACATCTTACACAGCTATGAACAGAAATCTTTGTTGACGCTGATTATTTTCTTCGAATATAATGTCATACTTTGGCATTACAACTTTTTATGAAATTTACATTAAGACTTTAGGCAAACCAAATGAAAACATTGTACCTTATAGCCTCGTTTTGACTGCTATACAGGTTGGGCCATAAATAAGATTAGCCCCAAATAGCTCACTGATACGTTTGAAGTCTTACAACATTAAAAATCGGGTTTCAATGCCCGTGAAGGGCAAAGCACAGATAACCATTTGTGTAGCTCTGTGCTTAAAAACAATTGAATAAAAAGTAATTTTACTAAAGGATTTTTCAATTACACTTATTTCTTATTTAATTTTTTTAATTCTTGCTTGTTTCTGAGAACAAGTTGATGGTCACATTTGCTGGCTACTAAAATGGCTTACATACTTAGTTAACATGAAAAACGATTTATGTAGTGAAGGGGAAGAAGAAAGAGTGCTAGTATGTGTAAATTAGGAGGGGAAATGCCTTGAACACTTGCTTTAGGAAGGAAAAGTGTCTAGTAAACTCACAAAACGTGTCGATTCACCTTTGTGTAGTCGTAGCAACAACACACTGTGTTTTGTATTGTACACCTGACTGAATAAACCATCGGCTTATTATTTATGACCTACACCGTATTTAACGAAGACAATGAAAGGCAGTAGTTTTTGTTTTACATTATAAGTCATAATACTTTAAAGGTTAAGTACAAGACTGGGTATAAATATTATTTTCTCAGAGTTTTACAAGGATGTACCATTTGGTAATTAAACATTTAGCACTAATGGTGCTGCAAAGGAAAGAAAAAACGAAACTTGACCCCGACACGAATATAATTGAAAGTGTCTGCTAAGCAAACAAAACGAATTTAGTGACTAATTCGTAAAATTATGAACAGTTATCCAATTCAATTCAAGTTTTTTTCATAAACCATAGACCAATAAGAGTATACTCGGAGCTGTAAGTGCTGGGTGGGAACTTTGTCTACGATATGACTGCAAAAATGTGAATCTGCGTAACTTCAAAATATAAAAAAATAATCACAATAGAAATCCTGTAATGATTTATTTAAAGTACTCCTTGAATCGATCTGTGACTTAAGAATACTTATTAGGTTTTTATTGCTCCTTTGTTTTAGCTGTAAGGGTTCTTTGTACTCACAATGACAAAGGATTTATGAAAAATGAGCAGTATGTCAAATCCAATTCTCGTGGAAGATAGCTTTTGTTAAGGAACAACACAAAAAATTAACCATTGTATTGTGTGTAACAGGTCTTGTGTACACTATATTTAAAATATGACGGGAACTGAACTTTAAATAAGTATAAATATTTTTTCAGTCTAAAAGGTCGTATTCGAATGACTTGTGAGGTTTGTATTATATGAGAAATAAACCTCATAACATTTCTGTGAGATAATTCGATAAGCTTTAGTACAGTAAGCAATAAATAAAATAAAATGACCCAAAACTGTACTTTATTCAAACTTAGAGTTCTGAATGTCCCGAAACTTATTTAACAGCATTTGTGAAAGGTGTATAACTTTTGTTTATATACGTATCAGAAGCGGTTGTAATGTAGTATCTTTGGGATTTTGATTATTTATCTTATAACATCATCCCAAGAACCTTCTTTAAAACAAAGGCCGCACGTGTGCTCGGACTGTGAATCTGAGGGTTCATGGTTCTCGTCCCGTTGCCGCAAAATTACGCTCCGCACTTTTAGGTTGTGGGTGCATTGAAAGAATGGTTATTTCTTTTGTTAGTATCAGAGAAAATGGCGCAAGGCCAAAGGGCATAGCCTGCTTTAAAATAGCTTTTTTTTGTTTCACAATTTGAGTTCCGTTGTTTTCAACATGAACATCTAATTATCACAGTATTTCACTATTTTTATATGTAATATTTTTATGTCTGAGTTACAGTTGCTTAACTATTAAGCTTTAAGTGAAACTAGTTTTATTCTTAATCTATCTCCGTAAATATGTTTAGTAGATTAAGAGTCTTAATGTTTTTATTTCTTGTGTCTTCGTTACATCACATATTTCGAACACTATGTCAATTGTATCGCTCTTGGCGACCATACACCTCAGTCTGTTCGTGAAGAAAATCGCCTGCACATCTGAAGTGTCACTTTTATACACAGACTAGAACCTCTTGTCCCAACAGCTCACTGAAGCACTGGAGGGATAGAAAGCAGAAACAATGGAGACGATAAGAGGCTGGTAAAAAGACTCCTGTCAGTTCCAGGATTTCTCTACTTCTTTGTCACGTGGTCCTGCAGTAACAGTTTGTTTGTTTTTGAATTTCGCGCAAAGCTACACGAGGGCTATCTGCGCTAGCCGTCCCTAATTTAGCAGTGCAAGACTAGAGGGAAGGCAGCTAGTCATCACCACCCACCGCCAACTCTTGGGCTACTCTTTTACCAACGAATAGTGGGGTTGACCGTCACATTATAACGCCCCCACGGCTGAAAGGGCGAGCATGTTTGGTGAGACGGGGATTCGAACCCGCGACCCTCAGATTGCGAGTTTAGCGCCCTAACCACCTGGCCATGCCGGGGCCCGCAGTAACAGATTAATGCTCTCTTCAGACGTCTCTTATGCTGAACTCCTATAGTTATAACGTCCACAGATTTCCAAACAAGATAAACTGGCTGTATCAAAACACACAATGATTATGCCGAAGAACATGATTAAATTGATATTTGGGATTTGATATTTTGTTTCTTTTTTGTAAAATTTTAAATTTTTGTCTACAAATGTTCTATATTTTTTTAGAAGTAATATTAGTTCAAGTAGTCTATATAGCAAACTTCCGTTAATGACTTGTTTGTTTACGAGCCGTGTTTATCTCGGAGATCAAGCTTCGAATTTTAGCGTTATAACTCTTGAATTTTCTTATTAATGTTTAAGGAGTATAATGTCTCGTCGTGTTCTTGAACTTACTTAAGTAAAAAATTTGGATGGTTTGTTCATGTATCAGTTCACAATTAGAGACGGCTGTACGTAGAAATTCGCTCAATGCTACACAAAGGGATTTAAGTACATAGTCCCCCATAACTTTGAAGTGATGTACTAGAATGTAGCAGCTATTGAATGACACTCATCGCCAACCCTTGGACTAATGTTTTGAAAACGAACAGTGGGATTTTATTGTCACTTTTATAGCGCACCCACGATCCTGAAGTGCGGAATGCGTTTTTTTTTCCTAGCAATGGGTCAAGAAACACAAATTCTGGGATTCAAGTCCAGACACGCTAACTATGATGCAACGTTCGGCCTACTTTACAACTGTGGGCAGACAGTTTCTGAGAGAGTAAAAAAAATCAAAAAAATCGAAGAAATATATTGAAATTGGTGTATACTTAATGTATCAAAATAATATAACGAAACAATACATATATTTCGAATCAATTTAAAGATTGACTAGAACGCCATTTAATAGATATAATTTTGGAAAATATCTTATGTTAGGGACAAATATTAAAACACCGAATAAACGGAAAATTATAAAGGAGGAAATGAATCATTTAAAGACTGAATGAACTAGAGGAACGAATAAATTAACTAATAAAATAGGAACCAGAGCAATAAAATAGTATTGATACAATGTGAAAGCATCATTTCTGATGTAACGGAATAAGTTATTTCCATCACAATATTACCTTTTTATAGTTAGTTTGCGTGAAGTTAAGCAAACAGTTACACAATGGGCTATCTGTGCTCTTCCACCAGGGGTATCGAAAAACAGTTTCTAGCGTTATAAGTTTGCAGACATACCCCTGTGCCACTGGGGGCACCATTTTATAGACTGACCAATTAAATAAAGAAACTTTCCTTGCTCTGTTTCCATATATAATAGTATCAGTTATTTACATATAGCGTATGTACAAGGTTTTACCAAAATAATTTTATTACAGTAAACTTATTTCCGGCATTTTGTCTAAAGAGAAGTAAGTGGAAGCCATCACAGCTTATAGATCTGGTTTTTAGATGATCAGTCCTTTATGCCTGGAGCTTGGCGTGACTTAATGATTAGGACACTAGACTCGCAATCTACGGGTCACAATTCGAATCCCATAACCGAACATGCTCACCCTTTCAGCCGTGGGGGCGTTAGTATATGATGATCATGCTCACTTTTCATTGGTAAAGAATAGCCCAAGAATTGGTAGTGGGCTGTTTTCCCTCTAGTAGTATGTTATTTAAAAATTAAGGACGGTTAGCATAGCTAGCCCTTAAGTAGCTTTGTACGAAATTTAATAAACAATCAAACCTTTATGATGTAGCAACCAAAGAAACGCGATTCTTCTCACCTTTCGGTGAGAGATTATCCAATCAGACAGTTGACAAAAATACAGGTGACATCCACCATCAGATAATAATTTAAGTAATAAACGTAAAGTAAGAACCTACTTACTTCTTGAGGCGGCACATCGAAGGACACTGTCCTCAAGTCCACTTTGCAGTAGGTGTCGATGCACGGGATAATGAAGAATATGCCTGAAACAGAATCGTTTTGGCTTTGGTCACTAGGACTTGGCTGATCTGAAAAATAGAAGGCGCATAAGACAAGCACGGAATGGCTTGGACCATTCCGACTGTAATGTATGTATTAACTGTACAAGGAAGAAGGGGCTACTGTGATCAGAAAGACTCTCGTTGGAATACCACCAATTAATAATCATTAAAAATATATCATTTAGGCTACTATTTCCTGGGCTTTAAATTAATGCCCTCATTTACCACCATGTTCTTCTTTCCGGTTAGCGTATTCGTTACGCAATATTTCTCTTTCACTTCACATTTGGAGTATAATGTTTGGCAAAAACATTCTTTCACTAGCCTCCAATTGTGGAATTGGCAAATATATTGATCAAACCTGAAAAGGAAAATATTAAACGATTAGGTTATACGACACGTATAGAACGGGAGCCTTTCTTCACTCACCATTTCTTCCGTTTATTTTCTATTACTTTTTACACGAATATTCTTGAATTTATCTGTAAATATCTATAATGAATTTTGAAATATTATGCTTCAGTGTGTCTTTTAATTAATTTATTTTGTAAAACAACAGCAAAAATCCAAAACAAGATGATAAATATCAGTTGGAAGCTTGCACAAAACTGTCTGTCACTTAGTTTCATGTCTGGAATGCACACCTCAACCAACACTATCATTGTGCGAAAAATAAAACAGATTGAAACAATTTCTTTTATGAAGTGTAGTAACTAGTTTAAAAACTGTATCCATTTGCAATGAAATGAATTTACTTGACAAGAGGCTTTACATAGAAGTGGAAACTTTGATATTTTTGATGCCAAACAATGTCAAATATATCTTGCAATAGAGTATAATTCAGCTTTTATTAATAATATTTGTAGCACTATTATTTTTACTTTGTTGAAACAAACATTGTAAAAACGCTACTAAGGTTAAATGAAACTTACAAGCTGAATTACCACGTTAAAATATAAGGTATCATTAACCATCAAATTTCCCAGGTCTCCAAAGAGATCTTCGTCAGCTGGAGGTACTTCAGCCTGTTTCTTTTTACGTTAAGACACCCACATTTAGATAACATTAAAACAATAATTAGTAAGATTAAATGAAAATTTTGCTATCTAATGCATTATTTGACTACAGCCAGTTTGTGTGTCCGCTTATAATTGACCAATTTTACTGGACTGATTGTCACCAAATTGACGTGATAAAATACGACAGTCAAGACAAATTTAAATGAAATGTTTCACAATATTTTTAAAGGTGCTCTTCATTGATGAACCACATAAACTTAGTTAAATGTAAGGACATAACTCGGATTGAACACAATTTACCTGCAATACATTTAACTACACTGATGGGCATATATCAGAAAATGTATGAAAAAAAAAACAGTTTATGCAATTATATTTACATGTGAGGGTAATTTGACATAAAAGGTAAAAAAACAGGTTATGCAGAGATATTCACCTGCATGATTTATTGATTCAAGAGAAGTATCATTTTAAACTAATGATAATGTGGTTATTTGCACAAATATTTGAAAATATGAATACTAACAACATTAGTAGCAAATTCTTAGAGAGGATATATTTATTGTTTAAACTCTTAAAAACGTTAACATGTGATTTTTCATTACTAAGATAATGAGGTACTTAGAATAGCTCAGGTTTCAAATATGCTAGACATTCAAAGTCAATAAGTTATTTCATCCGAATCTGTAACATATTCTTCAGAGTCTTGACCAGACCTGCAGCTACAAAATAAACAGTTTATAGGAAGAAGCGGAATAAAAAAATTCACAATACTTTTCTTGGAATTAAATAATACATTAAATTTGCATAACGTATTTCAGTATGTTTATTGGTCAGCCAACAATCAAAAAGTTTTTTTATAGCAGTGATGTTTTTTTGTTATTATTATGATGAAAAATATTGAAATCTAAAATATAATTTGTGGTATAATTAAATATTTTAATATTTACAAATATTAAATCTTTATATGAAAAATGAAGTAAAAATCTTATAAAACTTGCTGAAAATTCCAGTCAGCTATAGGCATTTCAAAATAATGAAACCAGACTTAAAAAAAGATTTCACTCAAGCTATATTTATTCAAGGTTATTTATGATGTTCACTATGACGCCCTCTCGTGAAGATTAGCGAAGTACAATATCTTTGTACAATATGTTTGTACAGTGACACGTGGTTCAGTTCAATGTTCACGAGGAAAATTTCATCAGGATATAATAAAGAAAACTAATTAAAAATAATGTAGTATAATCGGTGAACAGAAACATTTTAGAATATTAAAATTTCCACTGAACACAACAATAAAAATTCTTTAGTTTTTTGAATATTTTGGTCACTTGTAAAGTGGGTTACAGAAAGATCAAAGCCTGTTACGTTCTTTAAACTCAAACCATTCAAATTATTTTGCTGTTGTTTTTTTATAGTGTAGCGAGTCAATAAATTTATTCTTGTTTTTAGCGTTACAATCGTTCTCATTAGATTACCGCAGACTGCTGAGTACATACTCCAGACTGGCCCACCAACTATCTATACAAACCTTAAGTTATTATACAAGTTCTAGGAAGATATCTTATTGCATTACATGATCTATGTGTGGTTTTCGCCATAACATGTGTGCAAATCCTTCCTGGCAAACCAGTTATTTGATTCGCCGGTACCATACGCATACAAACATGCAAGTATCTGAAAATATTTCATTCCGATAGATTTTTTAAATTTCTTAAAGATGGGAATACAACGATTTTCGTTCAAGCCTATAAAGCACCTGCTCACCACTGTCTTCTAGAATTTCGGACTAATCCTAAACATTAGTATAGGAGAATCAATTTGCTCCTCAGTAGATTTATCAGAGTAGAGATGGATAAAACAGAGCCACTTCGATATTGGATGAAGGAAAGAGGCTGAAGATACTTAACACAAGCGAAAATCTTCTATGGAAAGTAGGAGTAAGAAGTTGTGAAAGATAGATAGGTATTTTGTTGGTAAGTAAAGTAAAAAAGTAAAACAATAAAATACGGATAACTTCAAGCCTAACAGTTATTAAAAAAATCACTTAGATTGCCACTATCTTAGAGGTCGTTTAAAAATCCAGTTTGTTCTTTAATTAGCAAAATCTATTTTTTTGTACCTAACCACTTACAACTTTAAATACAACAGTCAAGGTATGCTTTAGCAATCAATGATTAGAGAAGACAATGAAGCTAATGAATCTAGGCGTCATACCATTTACTGTTTCTTAGTTAATATAAATAAACTAAAGAGAATGGGTGTATAGAATTATGAGCTGTATAATAAAAATAAATAATAAAGGTCTAGTACGCAAACAATAGCAATTAAGATAGAATTGTGAACAGATCATGCAGTACGACTGATATCATTATCAGTAAGTGGGTGCACTTTACGGAACTAAAGATTCCTCAGCATGTTGTTCAGGCTTAAAGTAATACAGATTCTAAGTCGCTACTACTTACGTTTATCTATGATGACTCTGCAGAAAATTTACAAGCAATAATAAAAAAAGGACAAATTGATGGACACATTACGTACACCACTAACGCTTTTAGAAGCCTAAATATTGGGTTCCATCTATTTTGGTCCTTTACTTTTTTCTTGGCCTACTATTACAGAGCAGTAAGTAACCCTTGCCATTTGGGGCCTCATGGGAATTAAACCATCTGTTTCCAAACAAGTTGCTCTCTCAGATGCACGTAATATTAGTATGGGGTAGAAAGAACGAAGCAATATGTGAGTTGCTTGTTTACTAAGGCTTAGATCGAAACTTAGAAAACTACAAACAATGTTAAGATGGACGAACTAGGAGTGGAAGGATGATCAAATGGCTAGATGAATAGATGTTCGGAAATATGTGTTATTGGCAGATTGATTTAACAGATATATAAATGAAATGAAATAACTGCTTAATGGAAGGCAAATATGATGTATTAATTACATAGAATAAAGAATATAGCTACTTCAAAAATACACATTGGTTTCAGTGGTGTATTGGCTACAGGCCAAAATAACATATGGATATCTTTAATCTAATGGAGTGAAGAAACTAAACAGCAAGGTGGATAAGACAACGTGGTTTTCTAACATATGAATAGTTAGAAGTGGTTCATCGTCTAAACTTACTGACTGAAATAAGAACTGTTTCGTTAGGGACGAAGTGGTTTATTAACTAGTAAAATATATGGATATTATAATGTGACTAACTATTTAAATAGATGAAATTATATGACAAATTAGCTTTAAAATGATTGAATTAAATGTTATCAAATATTTGGTGTTTTATACCTGAATGTCATCTTATGCGACACACTAGATAAAAGACTAGGTCAGAGACTCCAAAGTTCAGGCGTGGCTGTTTTTAATCTCGGATTTCTGACTAGATTGAGGGTAACCAGCGAGCAGCACCCATATCTTACACGATTACTCCTAACCAATTAGTGGGATTGACTGTTACTTTTATGATGTGCCCACAGCTGCAAGTGCGGGCTGTGGTCAGCAGTTTATTGTGACTAGAACATTGGACCTTCCGATTCGCTAACCAATAGCAAAGCCATACCTACTAAAATATAACTACAAATTGTCTGTATTTTAAAACCACAAACTACTAATTTAATTAGAATAAACAAAGAACAATGATCTGTTATTAGCTGTAAAACAGATTGGCATGACAAAATTAAAAGTGGTAGTAACTGTGACAATTACAGAATATCAAAAAATTAAGGAAACAAAGAAAACGTAAGTGTAAAGGTCTTGTAGTTAAACGCTTTTCCTTTGAATATGTCTATTTAATGAAACGTGTTTAGTGGTGTTTTTACACAAAGTATCAGACTCAGAAGCGGAAAGTGAATTGGTGTGTAAACATAACATTAATTTCAATCTCTAGCATCGATATAGATGGACTAATGAGATCAAAATTAGCCCAAAACTGAACATTTCGGCTGGTTATGGCATTGATTTTATGACGTAATGAGAACATATATATATATTCGTATTACAATTTATCCTGTCAAAATAATAAAGTATTGTCTACTTATGTTAAGTATTGAAAATAGGTATATATTCTATTGTGGAAAATGCTACCACTTGGATAATTGTTTTTTCTTTAACAGATTTTTTTAAAGCATTAATTAACCAAAGCTCTTCTAAGTAAAATATATTATATATATTTGAATATTAAAAATAATTTATACTCCACCTATAAAAAAAACCCTTGCCTATGGAAGTATACATCTTTAAAGAATGGGACATTATTAGGACAATTATTTCTATTCATCTCCAGAAGAAAGTTTTTGTTCAGGAGATGTAAAATCATGTTTAAGAGACGTTTTTTACCTGGACCTTTCGCACCACCTCGAACAAGTCTGCCAAGTCGAAATATCACAGCCCTCTCGTATTCTTGAACAACCTGGATCATTACGACGAAAACAAAATGCAAGGTGTATCAATACAGTTATATTATCTCAAATATACACTATGCTCTTTGAAACATATTTCTTTACCCACAGCTCCTAACCAATGATTATTTCTTTAAGTTTAAACAATAAAAACATTGGTACAGATAGGATTTGGATAATATTAATGTTATTCATACAATACGCTGTTCCTAACCAATGATTATTTTTTTAAGTTTCACTTTTAAACAATAAAAACATTATTACAGATAGGATTTGGATAATATTAATGTTATTCATACAATACGCTGTTCCTAACCAATAATTTTTTCTTTTATTTTTCACTATTAGACATTAAACAAACATTATTTTATTATTACATACAGGGTTTGGATAACATTAATGTATTTCATACAAGAAACTGTTCCTGAATAATGATTCTTTCTTAAAGTTTTCACTGATAAACAATTAAAAACTATTTCATTGTTACAGACAGGATTTGGATAATATTAATTTCAATCTTATAAAAACTGTTCTCTACCAACGATTCTCACCTTCTAAATAAACTACATAGTTTACAGAAATGTTCTAATTTGAAGTAAGAATGAGAAACTGAATGTACACTTGGCTGTTAAGAACATACCTTGACACAAAAAATGAATGAGAAAGGAAAGGTTGCAACGATCAACAGAATTGATATGGCTGTTAAGATATAAGCACACATACCAGGGCCCTCGTTAACCTTAGCTGAAAAATCATGAATGAAAAATTAAGTTTTAGAAATAGAGAAAAGTTTGAATTCGAGATTATTACACATTTCTTACATTAGGCTCAACTGTATCTAAAACAAAATATAAATTGTATGAATACAAGTAGTAGTAGAGACTACCGAAAAATATCAGTATTATAAACTTTTCTAAAACAATATATTATAATGTAATGAAAAAAATAAAAATAAAAAACATGTGGGCTTATATTGTTAGAGTTGTTTACTAAGGTAAAGTATGGAAGTTCTAGCGTATTTTAAAGTAAAAACATGTGGGCTTATACTGTTAGAGTTGTTTGCTAAGCTAAAGTATGGAAGTTTTAGCGTATTTTAAAGTGAAAACATGTGGGCTTATATTGTTAAAGTTGTTTTCTAAGCTAAAATATGGAAGTTATAGCGTATTTTAAAGTAAAAACATGTGGGTTTATACTGTTAGAGTTGTTTGGTAAGCTAAAGTATGGAAGTTCTAGCGTATTTTAAAGTAAAAACATGTGGGCTTATACTGTTAGAGTTGCTTGCTAAGCTAAAGTATGGAAGTTCTAGCGTATTTTAAAGTGAAAACATGTGGGCTTATACTGTTAGAGTTGTTTGCTAAGCTAAAGTATGGAAGTTCTAGCGTATTTTAACGTGAAGTATGTTCCTGGTGAACACATTGAAAAATGTATAATTTAATATGTGGAGTAGCTATTAAGTCTGGTTATTCACTTTCAATTAATCTTAAAGTTCAATAATGTTACTTTTCTACGTACTATGTAGTGAAAACAAACATGTTAATGTGGAAGTAATTTAATTCCACGTGCGTGTTAAAGTTAGAATATAAAGCAGGAATTTCCTGTGCTGTTAATTTGGATTAAATTAGCTAAAGTTGGAGCAGTTTAGTTCCCTGTGTTATTAACGTTGAAGTAATTTAGTTTCCTGTAAAGTTAACGTTTGAATAATTTATTTCCTTGTGCTTTTAACGTTGGAGTAATTTAGTCCCTGTACTTGCTAACAGTGGAGTAATTTAATTCCTTGTATATGTTAAATGCTTTTATAGTTGATACTGCTCATTATATAAACACTTGACATATTTGTTCTTCTCTATTAATCTTAATATACAACATACAATGTATTGTGATTAAACCCTAGGTACCCTTTCCAACAAATAACTTTTGAAGTTACACCTATTCGACGATACAATAAAATCATAGGTTCAAAGTTTAGTATTGGAAGAGCATAAAGGCATTTGACGTCGGGACAGACAAGCAAACTGACAAGAAAATGAAGAGATAGTCTCTCGCAGTTTGTCTTGCCATTTTTCCAGTTTCAGTTATTGTTTAATGTTACACATAATGTTTCAAGAATACAATATTAAAATACAGTATTCAGAGATTTGTTTGTTTTATTGTTAAGCGTAAAGCTACACAATTAGTTTTCTGTGCTCTGTACACCAGGGGTATCGAAACCCGAATTTGTAACATTATAAGCCTTCAGACTTACCGCTGAGCCTCTGTGAGGCACATTAAGAAGTACTAGAAATTTGGTAAAACAAATAAGGAAAAAGCTAAGAAAATCATCAACAGAACAGCATAATGTTTCATATTATCATTCTTTTGCGTTACTGTTACTTCATGAACGAATATGAAAAAGTTTGATAAGAGAAATGTTGACCAGAGCTAATATGTGCGCAAGACGTTGGATCGTGGATTGTTACAGCTTCCACATATGCCAACTACTGTAGTTACTAGATAGGTTAGGTTATCACAAGTGACATCTTAAGTATTTTAATAGTTAAGGTACACCAGAGTTTATTGCAACGCTTATGTCAATGTTCTTGTAAATATTCGGTTATGAATAATAACGCTGTATTTGTTATTTTCAACGTGATTGACACCATACGCGACAAACTGGCTAAATGGCCAGGTCAGAGGCACCAAGATTCAGGCACAGCTGCCTCCCTAATATAGAACTGCTGACCTGAAGAAGGGCAACAAATAATAGGCAATTCTGCCTCCATGGGTACTCTTAATCGAACAAAAAAATTCACTGGCACTTTTATAACGTGCCCACAGCCGACTGCGCAAAGCATGTCCAAAAGGCACATAGAGGAATCGAACCATGGATCTTCCAATACGTAGCTCGGGCGGCTACTCACGAGGCCAGCCAGGCCCACTAACCAAATAACCAAAATTGCACAGGTAATAATGCCACAGCTTTGTATCCGGTAACGATATGTGTTGCTGTGAGATCTGTACTCGCAAATTTTGATTGTCTGATATTTTTAAAATACCTAAAATGCTATTGTTCAATTGTTGGTTGCTCTGCTTGAATGGGTCGGACGTGGCTTTAATGTTTATGGTGGATGAGTGTAGATATGTGGGTCCAAGGTTCGCGTTCCGTTGTCGCGAAAACAAATCGCGTTTCGTAGTTTGTGGCCGTGGGTACATTTTAAGAGTGACTGCCCAATCCGCCATTCGATTAGAGTAGCTTTAAGATTAGGTGATAGGTACTGTTGACTAGCTGCGGTGATAGGTACTGTTGACTAGCTGCTTTCCCTCTAGTCTATCAGTTATCGTAACAGTTAGTACAAATATACGAAAAAAAAATTATACTTGAAATGTAATAAATAAGGGACTTCTTAATTTTTATTGCGTAGTATCTATAAAAACATTAACAAGTGTTCGTTTAATTACTATAACAGACACTAAGAAAAGAAATATAAATAACAAATTAAATGTACTACGTATATAAGACTGTCCTGAAACAACACGGGACTGAGGTTTGAAGCAAGTAAATAGTTTATCGATAACCCTAAGTAGGAAACCTAAGAAATATAGCAAAGGAAGAATTGGTCTGTGCACGTACCGATAACATCAAACTCATCCACGAAACAGAAAAAAAAGAAAACTAAGGATAAAATTAAATAAGGCCTGAACCGTTCATGTTCTGACGAATTGAAGTGGTTCATTGAATAGAAGGAAGAAAAGTAAGGACTAAAATAAAGCAAGGACTGATCCACGCATGTCCTCACAGCACTAAAATTATCCATTGAGTGGAAGAATGAAATGCAATGAGTGATGGCAGGGAGGCGCACGCCATAAGTGCTATAACACAAGATTAACTCCAACCTGAGATGTATGACCGCACTCAGCATCTTGGGTTAGTCAGTGATATTTCATCAACAAACAACAACTGGCAAAGAGCCAAGCTTCCTAGAAAGTGCATATCCGCAACACTTTAACGTGTTAAAGAACAACATGAACAGAAACTGAAACCTTTCCTTTATTATCACACTTCTTGTGATTACCGTCTCTCATCACAACCTTCTCACTAGTAAACATTATCTGTAAGATTTATCATGTTGTTAAACAGCTTTATTCAGTCATTACTGTTTTCAAGGATGAGATTTAGTGGAATCTTACGTTTATTGCTGGATTAAATCACAAAATATGACAGATAATCAGGCTTAATCTATCCAAAACATGCTTTACTTAAGATCTTGTTTCATGGAAAATTTTAAATCTTATCATCACTATAATACCGTACAGAAGAACAAAGTAAATGCCCCCCCCCCCAGTGGCACAGCGGCATGTCTGCAGACTTACAACGCTAGAAACCGGGTTTTGATACCTGTGGTGGGCAGAGCACAGATAGTTCATTGTGTAGCTTTGTGCATAACTACAAACAATACAAAGTGAATTAACAAAATATCATACAGGGGTGATGTAACTAATTTAATAGAAAAATTAAATCGAATATTATTCGACTGTTATTAGGTTCCACGTTTTAAAATACGCCTTTGGATGTCATGCGAATTTAGATCAGTGTTTCCATGATATCCTTGCTTAACAGTGTTGAACATTTTTTAAATTAGTAGTTCGTGTTTTTTGGTTTGGAAATGACTTTGTAATTTTCATTTAAACTTCAGCTATATATATAAACGAAACAGCACTGCGCACCAACTGTTGTTTTAAGTAT